TATATATATATATATATATATATATATATATATATATATATATATATATATATATATATATATATATATATATATATATATATATATATATGTGTGTGTGTGTGTGTGTGTGTGTGTGTGTGTGTGTGTGTGTGTGTGTGTGTGTGTGTGTGTGTGTGTGTGTGTGTGTGTGTGTGTGTGTGTGTGTGTGTGTGTGTGTGTGTGTGTGTGTGTGTGTGTGTGTTTGTGCCCTTCCATCCCCCAACCCCACCAATCAGCCCGTGTCCGTACTTGTGCGTGTGCATGCGCGTGCGTGCGTGCGTGCGTGCGTGCGACCTGCAACAAAGCTCGCTCGCATGCATGTCTATATGTCTATACACACAAAGGGAGCGAAGAAGGAAAGAAAAGTCGCTCAAATATTTGATAAGTCGAAATCACAAAATGAACTTAGATCTCTCTCTCCGGCTTCATTCGCCGGGCGCGCCGCGGAGATGAATATAGGAAAAAAAAAGAAAGGAAAAGGGCAGAGAGATCAAATGGATGATAAAAAGAGAGAGAGAGAGAGAAAAAAGGTGAAAAGTGTCACTTTTATTACTATATGGTGGTGATATTGAGTGTTTTTCTCTCTGTGTGTCTGTGTGGTTGTGAATGTTGTGTGTATGTTCGTGTGTATGTTTGTATGTCTGTGTATGCGCGCGCGCGTGTGTGTGTGTACGTGTGTTGTGTGTGTATGTGTGTGTGTGTGTGTGTGTACGTGTGTTATGTGTATGTGTGTGCGTGTGAGTTTGCATGTGTATATATGTGCGTGCGTATCCATATGTATGTGTGTGTGTACAAAGCGCCCTCGAATACGCGACAAGGCTGATAGGAGGGGGGTGGGGGGGGGGATCAAAGGGAGGCCGAGGAACAATCGTTGACGCAATCCGGCGAGGAAGCGAAGCGGGGGAAAAGAGGGAGAAAGGGAGAAAGGGCAAGAATAAAGGAGGGGAAAAAAGGTGGAGATAAATAAATAAAGGGGAAACGACGAAGGAGATCGAATTAACAAATATACTTCAGTTAGGTGATTCTCTCTCTCTCTCTCTCTCTCTCTCTCTCTCTCTCTCTCTCTCTCTCTCTCTCTCTCTCTCCCCCACACATACACATGTATATGCTCATAATGGATATGTCCAAAAAACGATATATAGTAATAATGATAATAAATGAATAAACCATTAGTGAATTATTTCTAATCTTCTTTGGATATTTCCTTTCATTTTGCCAAGAATATTTCCTGATATGCTATTTCTCAGCCAGAATGACTGATTTTGATAAGTTATTGTAATCGAAATTTCATTCGTAAAATGGGTCTCTTAAGTATGAATCGTTACGGATGTGAATGGAAATGGAAAAAAAAATATATTATTGTTTTTTTATGCTTCATTTATTTGTTTATGTTATTTGTTTATTTTTTTTCTATGCTTCTGTTACTCTTCTTTACTTACCCATTCCTTATGTTCCTCCTTCCCTTCTTCTGTGTCCTTCTCATCAATCTCCAATTCCATTTCTTTCTCTCATTCATTTTTCTCGTATCCTGCTATATATATACATGCATATATATATATATATATATATATATATATATATATATATATATATATATATATATATATATATATATATATATATATATATATATATATATATATATATTTATATATATAGTACTCGCACAAAGGGTAACACCCGCTCACACAAAAAACACACATATAACTACATATACAGTACATATATGCTGATCATTACCGTCATGAGACGCGAACAAACAACGGCATAAATCAAACAAAGAAAAAAAATGGCCAACAAAAAAATCTATAAAAACAAGAACAAGACAAAGAAATGCGTGATCGTAATGTATGTATTGTTCCTGAGCCCGTGTTTGCCTAGGGTTGGCCAGCCCGTGTTAGCAGAGCTGCGGTAGTTCCTCTTGTGGACACAGTTTTCGGGAACACGTAAGGTGTCTTGGTGTTCTGGTAATAATGCTGGAGTATAGGATTTTATTTTTTCGTGTGTGTGTGCGTGTGCTTGCGTGTTTGGTGTATGGGGAATTCGAATTTATTTTGTGCGTGTGTGTGTGATTGTATGTGCGTAGTGTTTGTATTTGTTCGTGTGCTGTGTATATGTATGCTTGTGTGTGTTGATACATATGTTTGGTGTAAAAGAAAAAAAAAAAGTGATTATTATCTTAATGACCGAAATGGATATATGGATAGCAATAAAAAAACATGCAAAAAATAAGACATATAGCACAATTCAACACAATTCACAATACAAGGTCTAAATGACGCATAACCACTGTATTATAGGAGAGGCCATTACACACACCCACGGCAAGTATGGCGAGTATACAAAACAGGTGTACAAGAGTATGAGACCCCAGGGAAACTGCGACTAAGGGGAGACGGCCAGGGGGAGGGGAGGGGAGGGTGCGTGTATACGTGTGTGTGTGCACGGAGTGTCGTTAAACCCACCATGACTGGCTCAA